TCCCCGGTGTTTTTAATTCTAATTTCGTTAGAATTGATCAAAACTCTCTAAGATGTGCGATTTTTAAATTGGCCCATGTCAACAAGAAATGCGCGCAACGCGCGGGAAATTTGAGGTTTTTAGGCACCTTCAGGGGATGAAAAGGTCATTTATAAAGGGGTGGGGAAGATTTTCCAAAGATAGATATTTTCCCTTTGTCCCCCAGTGGTTACGCCATCGGGCAGCATCTGTCTCTTATACACATCTAGATGTGTATAAGAGACAGCAAGCGGACTGACTGAGTCATTTGGCTAGGCCAGACTGACTCGAGCAAAATGACCACTGACCAACTTGAGCGTACCGCCCATGTGTCAAATTCTGGCCAGCAGACTGGAAGCAGCCCTGAAGGCGTTTAAACTCAACTGATGGGCTTGCTACTTGAGGCCTATGCTAGGCCTCGTTTGGCGGATGGATTGGAGAAGTAAGATGCAGATTTTATAATGTTTTTAAACTGCTGTCCCAGCAGATACAAAGGTATGGTGCGACAGCAGGACGAGGGTTTGTAATTTCAGATTTAATTGTTCATTATATTATGACCTGATAAAATACGCCTCAGAATATCCACTATGTTGTGAATAACCTGAAGTGATAACAAAGTGATGTGAAAACCTAAATTGCTAAAAATTTATAAAATCACACTGTTGTAGTCACAAGCAGGATTATCATGCTATACTTTATTGTTATTACAAGCATCAGAATAATTGTGAATAAACTAAAGTGCTAAAAACATGATGAAAACCTGTTAAAAATTCAAATGGTTATTACTATCAAAACTCATTTACGAAACTAAGGTTGAGTTATCATTTATATGTAAAACAGTACAGTAAATAGTTTATACCTGCAAATTGACACCATCTGTTGTATTCATTCCATTCTTGCAACATTTTATCAGATCCAATTGCAGTTGCTGAAATACTGTCGTCAGGTTTGTTACATCCTGTCTCTTATACACATCTAGATGTGTATAAGAAGTATACATAAAAGCGAGAGTATTCCAGTGGATGCGATCTACAACCTCTGAATTTGCCTAGTAACGATGAATTCGTCGAGAAAATGGTAATATTTTATTAGAAATAGTCTGTATTTCTCATTTTTTTAAATTCTTTTGCGTAAAACTAAAATTCATGCCAATATTTTTCCATGATTTATAATAATTTGAGTAATGCAAATGCATATTTTCTAAAAAAAGTCATTTTTAGTGAAATTTTGCCGGGAATGGGGCTTTAAGTTTGAATGACATTCTGAAGGGTTTGCTTGTCAGAAGAGAAGGGGTGAAGAGGGAGGGTCTATAATTTAGATGATATCAAGAGCAATTACGTGAAACATGTTTTTTCTTGGTTTTTTTTTTTCTTTCCATCCAATACGGAGGACATTCTAAACAAAGCGTTTCGTTTTTGTATGATTTAATGCATGTATGTTTTGCACTGTCTAACCATAAATAAAGTGAAAAGGTATATAAGAAAATATGGACTGGATGGGTTGAGATTCTATGCAGCCCTTGGTTGGGATCCTGCCGGACGATTGGTCCCACTGCCGGCGAATTTCCAAAACCAATTTTGGTAAAGGTATTTATTACCACTGTATTATTATTTCAATCACTGCACAAGTATATTTTATTACTTGCCATAATTCAAATAACATTATTAAATAAAAAAATATTCTGTTTACATTCGAAGGATTTGTGTGGCACCGGTACGGTAATTATTGTTTGTTTTGAGCATGCTGTTGAATTGACGTATCCAGAATCAGAAGTAATGTCTTCAGGTTTCATGACTGGTTTTTCATCAGTATGTTTATTTTTCATTATTTTGTGCATTTACCAACATTTTAATATGTGATTCAGTTCCAAAAAGGATATAATAGTATGAATTATATAGGCTTCATTGGCAACGCAGTGGCGGAACCATGGCGGGCCGCATAATTCTTCCCCATACAGTTAAGGCAGAAATTATAGAGGGTGCTATTTTAGGTCAGTTAAGTGAACTGATATGAATGAATATGCATACCCAGACATCCCCCCTAGCGAAACAGAGTTCTGTGGTGTACATCAAGTAAGCTCCAGTGCTTATGCGTGGAAGAACACTGGAGTAGTCCAAAATCTCTTAATTAGGCCTTGGTAGTCAAGACAGTGTGAACATTAATGGACTATAATTATAATAATAATTATATCCCTATGACTAGACCCAAGACTCCCTTCCCATTTCCGTTGGAAAAAAAATCATTCTGTTAGAAAACACTGTTTTGAAAAGGCGTTTTTGCTCTATGCGAGTGCTATTTTCCGGGCATGTAAAGGTGCATATTGATAATTTGATAACCTTAAATTAACCAATATAAAGTCTAAGTATATAATTCCAGCTATTATAATATCAAATTTTCTTTTTCAAATACTTCGTTTTCTTTTTTTTCAGGTTTTTACAATGATACAGACTCTGTTGATGGATTTTTTAGATTAGCTGAACTTTAAAATCATTAAATTATTTAGATATTCTACCATTGACAAACTCTGAAATAGTTTTTGTATATTTAAGTATAAAGTTAAGAAATGTTTTGAGTAAGTGTGTGCTGTCCTGCAGGCCGGCCCGCGCACTGGGTTGTTAATAGGTAAGTTAAATTTAAAGGTAGGAGAATAACTCATAACTTGCAGCGTCATTGTGCTGAATTGCGTATGGGCGTAGTCCAGTACTAGCGTCCGTAAAGAGACGTTTATAGTTATTTACGACATGTGCTGAAATGAGCCATAGCATCGGGGTAACCCCCTACTCTTCCGAAAGATACCATGGGTCCTTTAAAGTGCACACGAGCCAGATGTGTACACTGGGCCTCCATTTTAAATCCTTATAACCGAACCCTGGGCGAGGAGCGGCTGGAACCAGCGCCGATGTTAAGACTGTAGCCCCGACAAATTATGTTTTTATTTCCGGTCCCGGCCCTCCGCTGGCGCCACCCCTGGACTGTGGCCACTCGACTTGCCGTGAATGGGATGGGGGGGGGGGGTTCTTTTTCCAGGAAAATGGACCAAACTTGGCTGGGGGCCGGGTCCGCCTAGAGTCCCGGCGTCCAGGGGCAAAGCCACAGTGGGGCCTCTGGCAATCTGGGCATAATTAACCCTGTTTCAGTGACATTTAAAAGGCTGGGAGTAGATGTTTTTAATTCAAATCAATATTTATACCTGTAATTTGATTTGGAATTTGCAAAGTTATAATCCCCACCCGCTCAGCATACGGGCCTGTCCTGACTGTGTTGTTCTTTATGTATTCTATGAGTAGTGGGTTCCCGCAATTGGATGTGAATTAAAATAACAATAAAGAAGAATGATCCGTAACCCAATGTACTAGCGGCAATTTAATGGAGCTGTATACCCTGTTAACTGGAATGTTTTTGTTTCTACAGTGTTCATTAAACTGATAATCGGAGACAGAGTGCTGATTAGGAGAATTATCTAGACGAAGAAGAAATGGAGTTAACATCGCCGACATATTGGGATTAAATATAACTAATCATCGGCTGTTATTATACACAACTAATATATAAATTTTGTTAATATTATTGTATGATTGTACAGTGGTGGCATGATTCAAAATTTCTCAGGATAGGCATGCATATTTCCCCCTAATATTATTGATCACATTTTTTTTTTAAATGGTGACGAAAATAAAATGGAGAAACAGAAAAATTAATAGGCCTATCATATTATTTATAATTCAGTTCAGGTGATTGTTTAATAAGCCTGGTTTCCTTAAAATCGCTACACTGTCGCTACAGTGTTTCCAGTGCAATGGTTGTACTGCGTAGCTGTCCCCGACGCAATCGGAAGGCTCCCCGAATTAACCGACCGACCAATCACTATCACCGAAAGCTGTCGGTGATAGCGTGTAGCGATTGTATGAAAACAAGCTTTAGTATTCATGAGTAAAATTCTTTCCATTACCAGGAAATAACAAATTGCATTGTACTAACAAGACTGTTGTGGAAATATTAACATGAACACGTTTGAATTAGGAATGAGCAAGTTTAGTGAAATAAAAACTCACCAGAAGACTGGTTAAATTTCTCTAAGGATTAGAGCTCGTTTATTCTACTGCAGTTGTCAACTGCTAACCTTTACTTTAAATGTAACAAATTTTCCTCCACTTCAACACACTTGTAAGTAGGCAAATATCATTAAACTCATTCATTCATTCCTTCGTTCGTTCATTCATTCATTCATGATTTATTCATATAGTCATTCATTAATTCATTCACTCATTCCTCATTCACTCATTCATTCACTCTTTCTATTATTTATTTAATTAATTAATTAATTAATTAATTTATGCATTCATTCATTCACTCATCCATTCCTTAAATCACTCATATCACTCACTCACTCATTCATTCATTCACGCTTTTATTCATTCATTCGCTTACTCATTCATTGAATGGTTTGTTAATTGGGTGGCTTGACGTCGATAAATCTATTAGTCGATATATTGATTGATATTGATCGATTGATGAATCGGTCCGTTAATTGACTGATCCATTGATCTGTTCCTTTTACTAAGTGAAATCGAAATCAGAAGTCTAATTCATTTCCTGGTACTTATATCGCTTTTTTTCTGGAAGAATACAGGCCGGTCATATTGTGCGATCATAAAGAACACAGTAGTGCTATTCTTAAAAGAATAGGAATTGCCTGTCTGTCCTGTCCAGAAACTACCAATAAAAATATTCGTTGTGAATCTTTATTAATTGAGGAAGAGAGGTGAAGTTCGATTACTTAATAAGTTATTGATATATATAATAGTCGTCTTTCTCGTGGTATACCTCTTTTGTAATTAGCCTCTCTAAAGTAAAGGTTGACTATAGGGTTACCGTATGTAAATGTTATTGTCCATGAATTGTATACAACGTTTTATTATACAAAGTTTTGCTTTTGCTTGAAGCGTTTGTATTTTATAGAGATTATGGCGCCGTGACCTACGATGAAGACAGGTGATAGTAATAGTGAAGAATTAACTCTGATTAACTCAGATGCAGGTTTTAGATTGTGCAGAAAACGATGGCTCATGTTAACTATATTCATTGCATTTTCGGCTTCAGTTTCTTACTTGTGGTTGCAGTATGCATCAATTTCTGACATAGTAGCTTCTTACTACGGCGTTTCAACGACCACAGTTGATATGCTTGGTACTTTGTATTATCTTATGTACGCTCTTGCAATCATACCTATAACTTGGCTTACTGAAAAGGCAAATTTAAAAACCGTTCTTCTAGTTGGTGTGAGTTCACAGTTCGTCGGGACGTGGGTTAGTTTTATTGGGACGTCAACACAATCGATACAACTAAATTTCGTCGGTCAGCTTTTAAGCGCAGTGGCATTACCATGTACATTTGGAATGTCATCGCAAATGGCAGGAACCTGGTTTGGTATTAACGAGGTATCACTAGCAAGTGGACTTGGATTTGCTGGATGTGAAGTGAGGCTTATACGTTTGTTAACAATTTCTCGTGGTATACCTCTTTTGTAATTAGCCTCTCTAAAGTAAAGGTTGACTATAGGGTTACCGTATGTAAATGTTATTGTCCATGAATTGTATACAACGTTTTATTATACAAAGTTTTGCTTTTGCTTGAAGCGTTTGTATTTTATAGAGATTATGGCGCCGTGACCTACGATGAAGACAGGTGATAGTAATAGTGAAGAATTAACTCTGATTAACTCAGATGCAGGTTTTAGATTGTGCAGAAAACGATGGATCATGTTAACTATATTCATTGCATTTTCGGCTTCAGCTGCTTACTTGTGGTTGGAGTTATGCATCAATTTCTGACATAATAACTTCTTATTACGGCGTTTCAACAACCACTGCACTGTTGATATGCTTGGTACTTTGTATAATAGTTGCATATAATATAAATCAAGATAGCCGTTAACACTGTTAATTATATATAAATCATCAAAGAAAGGTAAATACAGTGTTCGAATAAAGGACATAATAATACATCGTGTAGAATAGCTCTCAACGAATGTTAGTCCTATTATATGTAACTACTTGTTTCTAGCCGTACTTATTGTGTAATGAAGTGTGTCTGGTGGTATTTGAATCTGTTCAACCATGAAGCCTCCGTGGTCTAATGGTTGTGACCCTCCCCTTGACAGCGAGAGGTCGCAGTTCGAGCCCGCCAGAGGCATTTTATTACTCAATTTCTTTATTCATTTATTTACAGAATTACATTCGTTGAGAGCTATGCTACACGAAGTATTATTTCCTTTATTCGAACACTGTATTTACCTTTCTTTGATGACTTGATATCATGACACAGGTTTGCCAAACCACATAACCATTGTAGTATACATTTATAATTTTTTCCAGGTTGGTGTTGGCTTAGCTTTCATCATTCCACCATTGGCGGTACAAAGTGGCTTGGATATTGATAAACAAATAAAAGACTTGTTCCTGTACACGGCTATTGTGATGTCATTTTTTCTTCCATTAACTGTATTCGGTAAATAAAGTCTTATGGGTTCTTTTTTAGTTAGAATTATTTATCCCACAAGGTTTCAAAATTGTGAATTAGCAGAATTGTTTTAAAATCGAGTGGAATTGTAGACAACGGCCTACTGGATATTACTAAAAAAATATAAAATAATTAAAATTCTGTAAAGTACCGTATGCAATGAGAATCAATTTTTATTATATTGTTTTATATATATAAATATTTTTAAAGTTTAATATATATATATACATATATATAATATATATCATATAAATCATGATATGATTGATAGAGATTGACTCAAAATCGTCTTTCGGTAATGCTCTCTCTCTCTCTCTCTCTCTCTCTCTCTCTCTCTCTCTATATATATATATATATATATATATATATATATATATAGATTAAAAGGCAAAATACTGAAAAACAACAACGCTGTGGGAAACAATGGCTGGATCTCGGTAGAGATACAAAAATGACAAGCTAAAAAGCTAAAAAGTAAACGTAAGTAAACAGCCAGAAATAGAATCAGAGCTTTCGGACAACACTAGTCCTTTCTCAGTGGCGAGTGAGTGAGGGTTGAAAAAGCCAGATAGTATAAAGTGAGAATTTCATGCAAGCATGATTAGAAACAATAGGCTAGGTGGGATTAGAATAAACAGCCTCAACAAGTAAACAGGAAGGCCAAAGCTAAACTTTAGAGGCATGCCTCAATAAATAAGCCAAATAATATATCCAGAATAATTTGGAATGTCATAGGTTTAATTTAGTGTACTGGGAGAACGTTCCTAATATTGAGTCCAAATGGTGTGGTGGTTTTAAGTAAAAGTTCCCAGCGATTCTCTTTATCTTCGCGATTTTTGTCTCTCCATTTGGCATTATGGTCAATTGCAATCACTCTGAAATTTGAAATTGAATGACCAGCTAAATTGAAATGTTCGGCTACTGGTTGATCAAGCTTAGATGTTCTGATAGCTGATCTATGTTGTGTTATTCTCATA